TGTGAGGTTCCTTTGCAGCCATATTATGTTATAGTACGGACCTGACATCAAGTGGTTAATACCTATTCCAATCTATGGTGAATTATTTTGCTACTGAAAAATTCGCCTCAAGAGAAGCTGGTGAAAATCGACTGCCCCAGTATTTTACCAATAGGGACAAGGGTTTCGATGAGAGTGGCTTTATGAAATTACCTTCAAAATGACAACAAGTTATAGAACAAAACGATACATACTGGACATAAATCGGATCGTTCTAATGAATGCTAAATAAAACCTTCTAATAAATGAAAAATTCTTGGATTTATTTATATTTTTTTATTTATTTGTATTTGTAGTAATCGCAGCATATATGTATGTCAGCTTATAGGAAGTAACGAGAAAGATAGCACTTCAAAGTGTTGAGGCAAATTACTGTTAATGCTCCGCTCTTTAGTTATGCTGAGCTTCGGAGACAGGAAATAGTTACAGGAAGTCAAATCAGGCAAATATGGTGGGTGAGAAAAGGCTCGACTCTATTTTATGTCTCCAACATTTCGTTAAGTATTATAGGTCATAAAGAACACTGCTGAATGTGTTTGGGAACCTCATGTTGTGATATCATTAAGAATTTTGAAGAAATTGCAACTAACATTTGATGAAGCTTGAGTTAAGATCTAGCACATGGACTTTCTTACACATTCAGTGAGGCTTAAGGTAATTTAACTTAATGTCTATAGTCTTATGTAGTACAATATAATTTCATAAAATATTGGTAAAAAATGTGAAATAAAAATGCATATGGCAACCCTGTTTCCTTGAAGTTACTGCTAACAAGTTGAGATTGAGTATATATATAGTATATATGTAGGTATGTAGACAATAATAGTTAAAACCCTTCGAGGTCGCACTTAAGCGTTTACTGCCGCCACATTTACGCTTTTACGCCCGTCGTCTGATCGTTTGATCGCCTACGATAGCGGTAAATGCTTTTAATTTTTATACACCACTGAAAGCGTTGGCGCACGCGCTGACACACGCACATAAAACGATAAATATTCATGTATATACCATATCTATATATATATATATATGTGTGTGTGTGTGTATGCGCTTACAACCAATTGGCGGTATGTGGTTAAAGTGTTAGCTTGGTGACGGCAATGAAATTCCGGCTATTTTTCACCAATTAAAACCGAATGTTACGCATTTTCAGTAGCCGACGCTGCTATTGATGTTGCAATGCCGCAAGAATATTTGGTGCCGCAGTGCAAGAAATAAAAACAAGAGAATTTAACACTCAAATATCTCAAATGCATTGCTGCAATTAACCGTTATACACATATTTATACCCTGAACAGTGCAACACCCAGAAGGAAACGTCTCAGATCTTATACAGTGCCTGTATATACGCGAATCAGCGTCTCAGGTTATATATATCATTCTGAAATTTTGCATACGACCTTTGCTTACCAAGAAACTGCTTATTTCTCGTAAACGCCGTTATCGAATCACTATAGCATATAGCTGTCATACAAACTGATCAATCAAAATCAAGTCCTTATATGAAAAACTTTTTTGTTTGACAAGTTATCTTCAAAAAATTTGGCATAGCTTATTGCCTAAAACAGCGCTACAATATCTGAACATATTGTAGAGATCGGAACACTATAGCATATAGCTGTCATACAAAGTGATCGATCAAAATCAAGTTAGAGATCTTTTTATACCTTTTCAAGCTATATGAAATGCACCTGTGAAGGGTATTATAGCTTTGGTGCAGTCGAAGTTAACGGTTGTTCTTGTTTTTGGTTTTTTTTTTGACAACGTCTTGCACTTGTTGCGGCAGCTGAGTGTTGTAGTTTTTGGTACTCTTGGAAATTGTGGAACCAAGGAGGCGGCTAATGATTGCATTATAAGCTTGTAAGTATGTCTGTGGCTTCAAGTGAATATGCAGCTCGTAAATTATCTGCAAACGGCTGTTTCAATGCAGTGTCAAAAATTACATACACACACACACACACACACACTCACATACATACGTACAATTATATAAAGTGTCTCGACCTGCATATCGGCTGCCAACAATGCTGCTTATTTATCATATTTAAATGGCAATAAAATGTACTTTATGTCGACAGCAACACCACATAAATTTCAATTTTGAAACGGCCCCAACCTCATAAACGTTTCAAAAATACCAATAATTCATTATAATTGCACACACATCATTTGCTCTTTACTCATTCGCACTCATTTGCGTCACTTGCCGTTACATGCCAGCCATATATATGTGTATGCGTGTGTGCGTGTGTGTATGCGTGTACTTAGCGTTCGTTCGTCTGTTGATCGGTGAAATTATGCCTCAAATAGTGCAATTCTACGACTTGGCATTGTTGGTTCTTGTAAGTGAGATAATTAATTAGAATTCCATATAAGTTATTTATGAGTTTGATGCCGTTAAAAGGAGGTCTCCTCGGGCGCAATATGCGGTGTTACAGTTTCTATTTAAAGTACGCGGGTAGTTGGCTAAATCTATGAAAATTTGAAATTCACATAAACTTTGCGGTTATAATGCCTTGATTCTAATCACGCACAGCCCATTTGGTCACGATTAAAGAGACTTCGCACACATGCCATAAAATGAATTCATCTTAAATCTACTCCAGCTTCCAATTGAGTCGCCCTTAACAATATTTTGACAAGTCTTAACAAGTCTTTCAAGGTTTAACAAGTCTTCGACTTATGCATTTAGATATATCAAAAGTAATTTTAAATCTAGTATCAGGATGTCTGAAGTTCATAAAATATATATTATATATAAAGTATATCTGATCAAATTTAACCCGGCACGACTGACAGCCTTTAAAAAATACTGCTGAGCCAATACAAGCAAGTCAAGCTTTATCCAATTTTTCAAACATTTCTTATAAACTCGGCAGTGACTTCAGCGAATTTAGGGTTTTCCGGTTTCATTTTTGGGTGCCATTCGCTACATTGTTGGACAGTTTCGACGTCTTATTCATAAACCCACGCCTCGTCACTACTAGTAGCGATGCGTTTGATGAATGTAGAGCCCTCAACTTCGTTGTCAAGCATCCCTTTTGAGATCTCTACTCGACGTCGTTTTAGCAAAAGATTGAGGTCTTTTAGTAGAAGTCTAGCGTTGTCACGCTACATACCCGAAACACTAACCAAAATGTGTTTAGTCTATCCTTAAGATATGTTGAGATTCTCTTTGATGCCAACACGATGACTTTTAAGCACTGTTTTTTTAACTTTTTCGATGTTATGGTCAGGTGGATGAACGATTTGCATGAGACTAGTTTTCGATGAATTCACGACCTTCACTGAATGCTTTTTAGCACACAAATACTTGTGTCTGTTCTAAAGTAGACTCCCCAAAAGACTTCTAGAACATTTCCAATGATTCCATAGCCATTATTCTATAGGAAATACAAAATTTCAAGCAAACTCATTAGTTAGTTCGTGTCAAATTTGGTAGGTTATAATTTCCTGATATGTGGGAGCATGCTAACTCGAGTCCCAAGCATTAAAATGCATTTCCGAACTCATGAATGGCTTTCCCATTCACATTTTTGAGTGGATTAGCAGTCCATTCACCAGAAGCAGCGTAGTATGACAAAGCTGCCATCTCTCTCAACTTCTCTCTTTTTTTCTTCCTAGACGATATCGGGATTCGCCTACTATTGGACATACTCTTCGAAATGTAAAAAAAAAGGTCAAAAACCGACTTGAGATAAGAAACGCAACATGATTGACCATGAGATTCAATCCCTTCAGCAGAAGCCAACTAAAGATTGTCAATCCTGAAATCGAGTATTGACGAACTACTGCTACCTCGTGAGCACTATAACAAATGACAGCGAAGCAGAAGCGCCAATTGTAGGACGAGCAAATAGGGAAGCTTGTATGGCTGTATTCGGTGTGGATGTGGGCAAACTCCCGAATCTCCAGAAGCACAAAGCTCACAATATTCCCAGCACTGGTGAAGTCAACGCTGTTATATGAAAGCGAAACTTGGCCGGTGTCAAACTCTAACACTCAGATATTCCATGCATTAATCAGCAAGTGCTGTCATCTGAAAAATATTCTGATCCAAAACTATAAGTTATTTTAAGCTTTGGAGTTTAACGAAAAATCAACCCATACTGTAGCAAATAAAGCGCAGAAAATGGCGCTGGATAGGCCATACTATAAGGAAGACACTAGACAGCCAAAGTAAAAATCACATGTGACGGCGCAAAGACCACAGCACTCAATCGTGTGAGATGCCGCAATCTTGTAGATGTCCTTTGCTCCAGAGGGGAGTAAGAAGGAAGAAAAAAATTGTAAAATTATGTTTAGGAGGAAGGGTTTGTGGCGACTTCGCAGGGTTGAACAAAAACTTATCACGTGTTCAATGTTCATACTAACAGCTAAGTGAGGTTGTGATTAAGTTGGGGCCACGCCTAATCATATAATTTGAGTGTGTTTTGAAGCATAATTTAGTCAAGCACGAGCATGTATGTGTGTATGTGTATCTACATGTGTTTGATTAATGCAAGCAGGGTTGTAATTGAGTAATAAATAAGCACTTATATAATATGAAATTTAAGTAGGTAGATTTTCGATAGTCTTAAATGACACAATTATAACCGTAAATGTCGCAATAAATCACTGATTTATGAATTTTGGTTTTAAGGCGTTGATTACTCAATTACAACTGACATTTTCCAAATAAAACGGTTATTTGATAATGCAGTTACTTTAATAACATAAGGCGCAACTCCAAGGCGGTCAGTTAGAGTTTGTCGCTTTGGACTAAAGGTGAAGTTTGCTTAGAAATTTTTTTAGAATAAAAAAATAGGACCGAATTAAATGTTATAGAAATAAATTAAATAAAAAGAAAATATATAAAAAAAATTAAAAAAAAAAATAATAATAATATAAAAATAATAAATAAGTAATAATATTAAACTTTCAAAATGATAACTCAAAAAATATTTTTCCTACTACTGTCGATGCTACAACTCTTCAAAAACCTGCGAGCTGCGCTAATTTCCGACATTATAAACAACTTGACTGCAGATTTAGAATTGGAATTAAATATCTTTGTAAACAATGACGTAGCTCACGCCAACGAACTCTATCGGCGCTGTGCTTCGACACCGAAAATCATACTTGACAACGAAAATGCCACGCTAGGCATCAAAGGTCGCATAACGGAAAATGTATTAACCATCGTTTTTATTCGTGCAGATGACACGAAACGCAATATGAATTTTTTGGTCGAACTATTGTGGGAACGGCATTACACGAATGTGCTGTTCGTATACGAAAACACGCAAGCAGTTTCGAACTTAAACACACTTTTTCAATTTTGTTGGCGAAATGGTTTCGTCAAAGTGCTGGTTTTGGTCAATCGCCTGCTCTACACATATCAACCATTTCCACGCATAAAAGTGGTGGCTTTAAGCAAACTCAGCGAATATTATGACAAGTCGCATTTGCAGAATTTTCAAGGTTATCCGCTACGTTCGAGTATTAACAATAATGCGCCGAGGGTTTATCATTACACAGACGCCAATGGAAATCTCGCTAGTGGTGGTTATTTGTATTGGTTGATATTGTTATTTATTGAACATTATAACGGCACATTTAAAGAGGTACGCATGCCTACCTATCAAGTAAACTTAACAAATACAATTTGGGCGTTTGAGCATAAAGAAATCGATATAATGGCCGATCTGCTCTTCATGTATCCTAATTATTCGCACAGCGCTGTAATTTATAATTATCGCACATTTTTAATGGCGCCTTATGCCGAACCACTGCCGCTCTATATGTACATGCTGAAACCTATGAAGAGTTTAATTTGGTTGCTTATATTGTTAGCACTTTTCTATGCAATTCTGGCGCAAATGCTGTTCTCCTGGCTGCGTGGACGCCACCTGAACTTTGGCTTGGTTTTTTTGCGCACGCTCAGCTCGCTACTCTACCTTCCGAGTTACTACTATAGTCGTTGTACGAGAGCGCAAATTTTCTGTGTCATTTTATTATTGGCTTGTAGCTTTCCTTTGACGAGCTTATATCAGACGAGTATGACGAGCATGATTATATCACGGCTCTATGAGCCGCAGGTTAACAGCATAGCTGATATTGCGCGCACGAGATTCGTTATACCAATGACGAGGATGGATATTGCCTATATGAGTCGTTTATCTGATATACCACAAATAATTTATGATCGCTTGATTGAAGTTAGCGGGACGGAAATCTATCAGTTGCTGCGCGATTTGAACAGCTCGTACATACTCACTTTCCTCGAGGATAAAGCGGCGTTTTTCATGTATCAGCAGAAATTCATGCGTATACCCCGTTTCAAGCTAGTCGATGAGGAGCTTACACAGGTGCCACTGTTTATAAGTTTGCCGCATGGCTCTCCATTTTTGCAGGTGTTTAACCATTTTTTGGGTAGGATTTTCGATTCGGGTATTTTTCAGAAAATGTTCGTCGACAGCGCTGAGGAGGGAATCATAAGCAATGAGATAAGATTCTTCCGCACTGTCTCCTTTGACTTTCAACCACTCAAAGTCGAACATTTTTCGCTGATATTTGTAGTTTGGGCTTTCGGAATGCTGTGTGCTCTTATTTGCTTTCTCGTTGAGTTGAAAATGGTTAAGTGGCGGTAGGTGAAGAATGGTAAAGTGTGGAGAAATAAACATATAAATAATTAATGCACATTTTCTGAAATGTTTTGAAAGCAAGCGATGTGGAATAAATAAAGTGTATTAAACATTCAATTTCGCTGTCAAAAAACCTGTGTTTACTTAGAAAAATTCTTATGAAATATGGTTCAAAGATCTATACTCTATCACATAACCAATACTGCTCGAAATATCTCACTGTCTAAAGCGACATAATGGAGTATTAAAAAACAAAGATTCATTTAGTTTCAGAGTGAGACCGCTCTGAATGGATCTGGAGATGAGAGTGGTCAACAAAATATTGTCTAACCTTAACAAAATAAAGGCATATGACTGCCGGCAGCCTTAACATCAAAGTTGGGGAGATGAAGAACAGTTTAGTTGTTAAAGCTTTTCGCCACAATTTATTTCTTCAGACAGAATTCGCCATAATATCGGCTCTACAGTTGAAATTTGAACAATATGGTAGGTAACTTTGCGACTGAGAGAAATCCGAGAAGAAAATATTCTTAATTGGATCACCGTAATTTATAATAATATAATAAATTTATTTGTTAAGGAAGCTTTTCACTTAAACTTGAGCTACTGTCAATTCTTGTCGCTGACATCCATGGGTGCTCCACTTTGAAGGAATAACAGTTGTAAGAGACAGTTCTTGCAATACTTGTATTTGAAGAAAAAGTTCGAGTTGAACCAATTGTTTATGCTTTGAAGGCTTGCTTTCGCTGTGGAACGTATTGAAGACGATGGAAATATAAAAGCATGCGATAGAATTGCTTAAATTTGAACGCTTGAATAGATAATAATAGCTTAACTACATTAATATTTCGAGTTGCGGCTAATTTGAGTAACAACTGAAGAGACATTGTGATTAAATTCGTTATTGCTGTCAGTTTTATGGTGCCTTATTCTTCAGGGTATAAAAAGGCGATTTTTGGAAATAAAAAGCACAAACAAAAATTGTTTTAAATAATAGCAAATTGTTTTAATAAAATCACTGTCATTTTTAGTTAATGAGTTATCAGAATTTTAGTAGTTTTTCACGAAACCGTTATATGGTGTTTAACTATTTACACACTGTCATAGGAAGTGTCAAAAAGAGATTTGCCCTGTGCTAATTTGGTTCATATGGCTTAAGCGGTTTGTGAGATATATGCGTTAAGCCTATTAGGGGGCGTGGCCATGCCCATTTTTTAAGAGTTTCAAACTACAGGGTGTCACTCTCAACCGCTACGAATAAATTCCGCCAACAAATTACTACATTTTCTTCATAAGTTTCTTCCCTTTTATTTGACATACAGATTACAAACAAGAAATTATTGCCAATGTGAAGTTAGCTATACTTTAACAAAAAATTTTTAGCGTTCATTCACAATAGTTTAGATTTTTTTTTTACTTTACAATATTTTGATTGAAGTTGTTTATTCTTTTACCATTCTACTGAGCTTGTGTTGTTGAAGTTCTTCAATACTAACTAGTGTGCTTTTGCAAGTCGTTTGTCAAATATACAACTAATCTAAAATAAATATAAATGACGTGACATTCCAATCACACTAAATCCGCTGTGACATTAATTATTAGCTAAACGACTTACTTAGTGGTATTTCGGTGACTTTTGACGCGTTCTTTTGTGTACTCGCTAAAAAAAAAATCTATAATTTGTGGTAACTTTTGTGATAGCTTTTTCGGGGTGCGCATAAATTTAAACAAGAATATTAAAATGAAATAAAAAAATTAAATGGACAAAGCACACTTTGAGGCAAAATAAAATTGCAAAAATTGTAATTTGCTATTAAAAAGACTCGAAAATTTTAGAGAAAAACAGTAAAGTCAGCAAACAATGGCTAAGCCAATCTTAACTGCTACTCAAACACTTAGCCACGAAATCTAGTAATCTGTTATAATATTACTAATCGAGCCGGGGGGCATAACGCGACTTTTGACTGACTGCTTTGACGGACAGCCGTAATGAGCGCAATGGAAAGAACACGCTTAACAACAAATGCGATCAACAAATGAACGCAAGTCAATTTTAATGAATGTAATTTTGGAAATAAAGCTTTTTGTATGAAACACGTCGGCGATAAAGCGGTTACATTTCCGTAACGAAAGTCATTGACGGCGCGGCATAAGCGACTCCGCCCGCGCTAGTAGCGAATTCCAGAGCGGCGAGTCAGTAGCCAAGCAGCAGTTGTGGCGAGCGATACACATACAGCATATACACACTTGCATATATATATATATATATATAATGCATATAATAATATATATATGTGCGTATATATATATACATATTCACAATTATATCAATTTAAAATTTTATTTGCAAGTTTTGCATTTACTTCTGGTTTGGCGCCTTGACCACTAGGCGTATATGTTTGTGTATGTGTGTGTTTGTGTGCGCGCCAATGTAGGCTACAGCGAGGCGAGAGTTAATTTTATTTCCACCTACTGGCGAAATCAATTTACTTCGTGTGGCACGTGCTCTAAATGCGCTTAGAGAACAAAGTGTGCAACAAAAGCCACAAGAAAAAAAAACATAACACTAAACTCCAACAAACACGCACACGCGCACACACTTACATTACAGATAAGGAAATATTAACGGCAAAACAAAAAATGCAAATAAATAAATCGAAATTAAATAAAATGGCTTATAAAGTAATAATCTTTCCCTTTGGGGGCGATACCGCCGTCAAGCGTGCCAAGTTTAGCTTATCTGTCTGTCTGTCTGTCTGTCTGTCTGTCTATCTGTCTAGTTGCTAGTTTATACCAGCTAGCATGTCACTAGAAAAGCAAATTTTCAAAGCAATAGCTATTTTGTTATTACAGTTAGGTTTAAATAAGCGTAGGCCCGTAGAGGTGTTGCCAGAGTGATTTTTAAAAATTGGATTTTTCAACAGTTAGACAGAAAACAAAGAAGCAAATAACGTTAGCTTTGATGGCAAGGAAGCTAGTATTTCCTTCACAAATAAAAAAGTTTTTCACACAAGAGCTTGATTGTGATCGGTTAGTTTGTGGGAGTTGCTGAGATATAAAATTTTATTCAAGGCGTTGCCAAACTCACTTTTAAATTTATATATCGAGTCAGTAATGTTTTACCCTTGGGGTTCAATCTTATATATCTGATGTTGAAAATAGTCAGTGTATAAGATTTTTCTGCTAAATTCATACGGTTTTGAGGAATGACGTTGAGCGCAACCAAATCTGGAAGGACCTCTCTAAACCGTTCGATATATTCTATATCTATAACCGTTTTTCAATATAATCTGAACCGCAGTGGCACTATCTGCTTTAGAGGAACAAAACTACTAGTATATGCCGATGACATTGACAACAGTGCCGTCAGTTCCGCCTTTTTCTTTTCTAAGCTGAAAAATAGGAAGAGATTGAAGCGAAAGAGGTGGGTCATGCGGTGAACGAGGCAAGTCAAAGTATCTGGTATCTGCACACAAAAATTCCTCGCATATCGAGAACTACATCGGTGATGGCGGCTATAAATTTGAAAAAGTGTTGGACTTTGTATATCTCGGAATTAGCATAAATACCACCAACTATCTAAGCTTAAGCGCAGAATAACTCTTGCCAATAAGTGCTACAGTCGGATTGGTAAGCAATTCTCTCAACGAACCAAAATAATGCTCTATAAGTCTCTTAACATATACGCTATATTATAGATGATGACGAACCGAGATGAGAAAGCACTTGGTGCATTCAAGAGAAATTTTCTCTGCAAGGCCCTTGAAGTCAACCGTGTCGGTGATGAGTACTGATCAAGATGGAACCATGAACTGTATGCGCTTAACAGGGACATGAAAATACTCCAACGAATGCGCAGGTTAGATCATGTCGTACGCATGGAAGAAAATGCTCCAAGAAAAAGCTCTTTCGATTCGAAATCCATGGGTAGGCAACAACAATCCGTTGGAGGGACCTCATGCAAAGCAACACGTCTACCTTTGGATGCTTAGACCGACTCATGGTTGTAGTACCAAAGAAGAAGAAGATATTTTGTGAGTGCTGGGCGTGTTTATTAGACGATTTCATCGATTTCCACACAATATCAAGAAATTCCAGAAAGCTCAATCAAATTCTTAATTTGTTAATGGGTTATAGACCTTTATATGATTTCGATAAACAGTATTTTGTAGGCGTGGCGATGGTCCTAATTCGAACTTTTTGGAATACCAAGTTTCATTGAGTCACCTCAATTTTAAATCAAGTGTTCGCTTGAACTATCAAATGGACATTTGTACGGGTACTCAAACATCCGGAATTGAAATCGTCTCGTCCACTGACTCGTTTATATAGCTCTATATCAATCTCGATGATTTTTATGTGTTACAAATAACCGTTAGGTGAACAAAATTAGTATATTATAAAATGTGCAACATGTTGCGAGAGTATAAAAAAAAATACTCCAATATAATAATATTAAACCATTTTCGTAAATGATGGCAACCTTATCCTTCATTCTATTTAAAAAAAAAAAGTGATATTAAAATTTGTGTTTGCATTCGTAACGAATCGCTTTTCGACTGCCAATCAAAATTATACACTTCAACAGCACCAGCAGTCTTAAACATTGCTCATTTTGGCTTTACCTTACCACAAAATGTGGCATGCAACATAAGTGGCAATAAGCTTTGCTTAAAAGCACGCACCCAAACATACATATGCACACATTTAAGATTTAGCCAAGGTGCTAACCAGGCAATGGGCGAGTCATCGTGTCTGTCCGTCCGTCGCTTTGCGCTGCCACCGACGAAGTGCATAAAAAGGAGCAGTAGCTGCTAAGGTAAAAACATGAAATAGGAGCGACCAGCCGCGAGCCTTTCGCAAGCCAAGCAATAAAACAAATTATAATGAAATGCATTCAATAACGCTAGGATATGTACAACAAAACAAAACTACAAGCACCAACGAATTCCGGCATTTGTTTTCAGATTTCGCTCCCTTTTTTTCTCGTAAATTTATTCGTCTAT